GGTACCAGGGATCAAATTCAGGATCTTGCACTTTAGAGGCAGGCGCCTGAACCACTGAACTAAATCCCCGGCCCTGCCTTTATTCATTTTTAAAGGTTCAATTTAGATTTCTCTTTGAGACTCAATTCATATTTGTTTTACATTCTTTAATTTGTGTAAATGTTTGTATGTATGTTCACTTATTTGTATGTAATTGCATACTCACATATGTACATGCTTATGGACCACATCCACTTCCATGAAGCTACCTCAGATAATGCAATGTTATTTTCTAGCTAGGGAAGATTGGGAAACGGCATAGTGGTGCATAATCCCAGGACTTTGGTGTTTTTTGTTTTGTTTTGTTTTGGTTTTGGTACTGGGGATCAAACTCGGGATCTTGAGCTTGTAAGGCAGGTGCCAGAACCACTGAGCTAAATCCCCGGCCCCAGCTAGGGAAGATTTATTAATACTTAGAATGAATTTGGTTTTGATTTGAGAAATTGGTCAGATTTTTAAAGAAAGCTAAATTAGTCTGTTTACTTTGAATTGGTTTCCATTTTTGTTATGTCCAATATTAACTAGGTGGCTAGAATTTCTGAAGATTTTATTTTCCTTTGTTCTTTGTAGGAAAGCTTCTTTTATCATCATAGAATGGTATGAAATCCTAGGAACCCAAATACTGTAAGTTTCCTTTAGGTCAGTTGGTGGTTGTTTGTTTAAAATGTTTTTAAAGAGTAGGCCAAAGAAAATTTTGTTTTCAGTAACTGTTTTGAAGCTGGAGATGTAGCTCAGTGGCAGAGTGCACACATGCTTAGCATATGCAAGGCCCTGTGTTCAAATCCCACAAACAGAACACAACATTCAAACAGAACTTTGCTTTTTTATTTCCTTAGTTTGAGAAATTGGTTATTTTTTAGATTTTTCTCAATATTAGGATAAAACATTCCATTTGAGTTTCTTTCAGATTGAAAACCAGTGATTTAAAGTTGAAGCTTATGAGCTTTTAAGCAAGTGGTTTAAATTGGAAAGGTAACATGTTCCACTACAGATCAGATTTTCTCTCATATACAATGTACTGATGTAAAATTTTACCAAGAAATTAAATTCCCACTTACTAAGAACATTGTGCTAATGGCTTTAGTGCTGGGAAGGATTCTACACATTTGCCTCTTGCTTTACAGTTTATCAGGCTTGCTCTTCACAGTAACCCCGTTAAGAACTGGCTTCATTTGCCAGCGAGGAAACCAGTGCTTCAATCAAGGTTCACCTGATGTTATGCCTTAGTTCCCTAGAACTTGGACTTGAGCTTAGGTCTTCTGACTCTAGCACTTTCTTTCCTCAGGGATTTCTTTTAAGACAGATACAATTATTACAGGACAAAACTGGACAGAGTGCTGTAGGACCTCCAGAGAGGGAAGAATATACTTTGAGCAGGAAGATAGAATGTGTCTGGTAGGGGGACAGTTAATTGGTTTGGCGGATTGAAGGGCCATTTGATGCTAAGCTTAGAGATGTGAGTCAGCAGGTGGAAATGAGTTTGTGAGAGTGGAGAAGCCAGAGGGCAGTACCAATTAACCTGATTTCCAGCAAAGTGGGAAGGTAAATTTAGAACGATTGAGAGGAGGCAATTGAAGAAATCATAGAGGAGTTACGAGGTATTACTGCTATAGCTTACAGTTGTTAAATTAAAGTGAGTGAATGCTTGAACTCTGGTGAAGTTTTGAGCCAGGGGCTTGGAGAGGTGGAAAGACTTACTGAGGAAGAAGGAAGTTTCAGCTTTGATACTCCTGAATTACCACTGTGCCATCCTATGAAGGCTGCTGCCACTCTATCCCTTACTCTGATGCTGTCTAAATGGAGTTCAACCCAGCTGTCAACTTTGCTCAGGTGATTAGGCTTTTTAAAAACTGAAATGCAACAAAGCGCAGTAATTGTCAAATTATAATACCATGTCACTCTTGTATATTTAAAATTATTGCATGCCAATAGTGCCTCAGTCACCTAATTGTGCTCTTGCTCCTGCAGCCTGGAGTACTTGGGTACTTTGAATTCAGTGGCTCACCCCAGCCTCCTGGCTATTTGACCTTCTTCACCTCAGCGTTATATTCATTAAAGAAAGGTAAGACTGAGTTATATTAAGACAGTACTTTAATAGAGATGTAGTTATTTTAACAGTTTTCCATATATTGTCATTATTATATTTTCTAATTGCTAGATTCCTTTTCTCAAGGTGTTTTTAGTAATTACATTGTTTAATGCTGTTGTTAATAGTATACTATTTCAAATACATTCTCTTTTTTTTTTTTTTTTTTTTTTGGTGCTGGGGATTGAACTCGGGTCCTTGTGCTTGCACAGCAGGCAGTGGAACCACTGAACTAAATCCCCGGCCCTCAAATATATTCTCTTAAATGTTTAGCTTTTTGAAAATACAACAATCATGTTATGCAACTATGTATTTTGTACTTTAAAATTTATTATATTATAAGGGCCGGGGATTTAGCTCAGTGGTTCCACTGCCTGCTTTGAAAGCACAAGGACCCGAGTTCAATCCCCAGTACCAAAAACAAAACAAAACAAAACAAAACAAAAAAAAACCCCACAAAATTTATTATATTATAATCATTATTAATTATGTAGTTAAAAGTTTTTGTCAGAATTTTTAGTGGTTATCTAATCCTGTCAGGTGGATATACCGTAACTTGCCAATATACTTCCTTCAAGGAATATTTTTATAAATATAAAAGTCATATCACATTCAGCATGAGCCTACTGCCAGTTTCATTCTTCTCAGATCCACATTTCATTTAATTAGTTGGAGTCCTGCTTTTTTCATTAAACGTCATATATCCTACTCATTTTTCCAAATTGCTCTGTGTCTCCTTTGGTCATGACTCGAAGGCCTGTCTTTCTCTATTGGATACATTCATCTGCTCATTGACTGTGTCCTTCTGAGGTCACTAGTCAAGCCTGACTTGGCCAGCAGACTGCCTCTGCCTGTCCTAGTCCTGCCTGGAAGGAAGGCTTAGGTGCCTGCAGCCCTCAGGCCCACCCTTCCTCCCCTCAAGCCCCTCACTCATCTTTCAGGTTCCAGCTCAGATACCACTGTTACAGTTCAATACTTTGTCCATCACCCCGATCTGAGTTGGGTACCCCATTGTTTCTTTCATGGCACATGACACAGTTTCCTTTATGTACATAGCTGTAGGATGATTTGTTTGATGTCTGTCTTCCCCAGACTCTGAAATTCCTGAGGATAAGGAACATGGTCTTAAATTTAGTGTTTTTCTTCAGTGTCTGGCACATAGCAGGGGCTCATTTAGTCTTTGTCACAAGTGGTCAGAATAATAGCCCAGCATCTTACCCCAGCAGATCAACCAAAAATATGTAACTCCTGAGGGTGATGTTACAAGCCTGTAATCCCAGCTACCCAGGAGGCTGAGACAGGAGGATTACGAGTTCAAGCCCAGCCTAGTCATTGTAGCAAAACTATGTCAAAATAAATAGGGTTGGGGCCAGGGATTTAGCTCAGTGGTGCCACTGCCTGCCTCACAAGTGCAAGGTCCCAGGTTTGATCCCCGGTACCAATAAATAAATAAATAGGGTTGGGGGGTGTGGCTCAGTGGTAGAACACCCCTGGGTTTAATCCCCAGCCCCTCATGCGCACACACTCAAATACAAAGTAACCAAGCACATCTGCCTATTACTGGTTATGGGATGACTTCGGTGTTGTGGTTTTTTTTTTATTAACACAGTATATCATGAATACACCAAACAGTGATATAACTGGCCATTTTAATATATACATTGTCTTAGGATTTCATGCACAGAGAATTTACTGTGTTTACATGTTTGTCTGGGAGACATTTGGGAGGAAAGTAAGCTGTTATGTATGTCTTCTGTCCACTTGAAAGTCTGAGCTGCACAGTTTCAAGTGGCTAAAAAGACTCAGTGAATCAAAGTTTGAACTTTGAAAACAAAATATTGGGAACTTCAGTAAGTTTAAGAAACAGACATTCTGCCAGCTGTGCTGGTGCACACCTGTAATCCCAGCTCTCAGGAGACAGAGGCAGGAGGATCGCCATGAGCTTGAGGGCCAGCCTGGGCTACAAAGTGAGTTCAGGGCCAACCTGAACACAAGGCGAGACCTTGTCTCAAATTTGAAAAAAAAGGGACATTCAAAGCTCTTCATGGAAAATTAAATAAAGCCCTTCAAAGAAGAAGACTTGAATTTTTTTTTTTTTTGTACAGGGATCGAACTCAGGACCTTGTGCTTTTGAGGCAGGTGGCGGCACCACTGAGCTAAATCTCCAGCCCAAGAAGACTTTAATATTATATAGAAAAGGATAACTTATAGTAGTCCACTAAAATGATGGTAGCATTCAGGCTTTGTATTTCAAGATTTTGGAAGGATGTTTTATTTGGTTAACTTATATTGTGTGCTGCTATGCCATGTTAGTGAGAAATAAGTAACTCATCTTAAACTATGTTTTCTCTCAGAGGTTTCTGAGAAACCTTTCCAAATACAAGACAGTAGTGCCTTCCCTCTCTTTCTTTAAGCAGAGGTAGGGTAAAAGAGGAACAGATGAAATAGAGGTAAAGTAGGGCCAAGAAGGACAAATAGCTAAAAAGTACTCAAGCCAGGCATAGTGGTGTGTGCTTGTAGTCCTAGCCATTCAGGAGGCTGAGGCAGGAGTTCAAGGCTAGCTTGGGCAATATCCCAGGACCCTGTCTGAAAAAAACTAGGGAAAGGGGCTAAAGGAGTTAGCTCAGTGGTAGAGTGTTTGCCTAGCACCATCTCCAGCACCACAAACTGCAACAAAAAGACTCAAAAGTACAGAATGAACCTCCTTAATCAAATCATTAGTTTGTTTTTGTTTTTTTAGTACCAGGGATCAAACTCGGGACCTCCTGCTTACGAGGCAGGCAGCGGAACCACTGAGCTAAATCCCCGGCCCCAAGTCATTAGTTTTGACAAATGATTATGTGAGAGTTCTCATTATAAATTAGATGTTTTCTGATTTACCTTTTTCTGTATTTGTTCCCAATTGTGTGATTCTAGTTGGATTTTGTAATATGCTGTTGCGTGTGTAAAGTTTGTAGGAGCCGAGATTCAGTTTAGCTAATCCTATTCTTTTTTTCTTTCTTTTTTTTTTTTTTCTGGTGGCTAAGTTCCCACTTAAGCTTAGTGAACCATTTTTAGAAGAAAAAGACAAATTTGAAATGTTGATTTTCCCATATATGTCCACCAGGAAGGATTACCTAAAATAAATCCGCTTGAGCCATCTGGGTTTCCCCCTTTTTCTTTCTCTTACTCTGAAGTCAAACAGTATTTTCCTTATTATTAATAGCAGATTTGTGGTAAGAGAGGCACATGTACACTTTTTTTAATGGCACGGTTGAAATGTAAATTCTAGGTCGATGTCCTGCTTAGATTGTGTACACAAATTAAGGCCTGAGAAACATTTAACACACTTAACAGTTGCTTATAGAGTGCTGAGCTGAGGAAGTGTTTACATTTAGTAGTAGAAAGCAGATACTCTGGTTCAAACATACTTGTCTTCTCATTGCCTTAATGATTTTTTTTTCCTTGTGATGCTGGGGATAAAACCCAGGGCCTTGCACTTGCTAGGCAAGCACTCTACCACTCAGCTATGCATCTAACCTGCCTTGATGATTATTTTAAATTGCCACAGAAGAAGCCAGGACACTCTCTGAGTTCTACATTTGTTTCTTAAAAATAGTTAATCACCAGTTCACAAATAATGGAGAGTATGCCGTGTATGAAGTGTCATGACAGGGTACTGTAGGGTGTGCCAAGAGTTCATTCCTGCCCATCAAGATGTGAGGGTTGAGGTTTTTTTGTTTGTTTGTTATTCTTTGAGATAGGGTCTCTCTTTGTAGTCCAAGCTGGTCCTGAACTTTTGGCAATTCTCTCATCTTAGTCTCCCAAATGCTGGGATTGCAGGCGTGCGCCCCCACGTCTGGCTAAGTTATAAGGTGTATTTCTGTGGCATTTTACCATTCTATTAGGGCCATTTCTTTGTTGTTTGATAATCATTACATATTGTAAAGGAAATCAAGCAAAACTCATTTACTGTCTCAGCACCATAACATGAACTGCTTTCACTATTTCCTTTTGTCTTGGTTGCCGGTGGACCTCTTGGACTTCATGCTGGTCTGTCAGTGGGTGTAGACCCACCTGCTTGTGGTGTGGGCAGGAAGCCCTTGTTATGTTTCTGCCCATTATTTTCCTGCCTTTTTTATTTTTACCATTTTTTATAAAGAAGTTTTATATTTTCATGTAGTCCTCAGGTTCATTTATTTTTTTCCTGAAAATCTGATGACTAGTTTACTTCTTTTTAGCACTTTGTGCTACTTGGCTTTAATTTGTCTTAAAATGATAGAAAATACAGTTGCTTGGGCCGGGGATTTAGCTCAGTGGTTCCGCCACCTGCCTTGCAAGCACAAGGACCCGAGTTTGATCCCCAGTACCAAAAAAAGAAAATACAGTTGTTTTTACCTCCTTCTCATTGGCTAATCATTTGCAAATCAATGCTTTTTTCTCCCACATCTTGTCCCCTGCTTTTCCACAGAACACATAATTTCGTGGAGTTGGGTCTGTTCCTGTGTTTTCTCTTGGTCTAAATAATCATTTTATATGAGTCATGCAATTTCCTGCTTTGTAAGTTATTATTGTCTGGTAAAATGTAGGCTCCACTTCCTCTAGTTTTACATTTTGTGGAATATTCTTCTATAGTCATCCATGCTTTTGACTGGGTTTTGGTTCCAATTACAGATGAATAAAATGCTTGAAGATAGTTGACATGATCATAACATTTACCTTCCTTTTCTAGGATCACAGCATGATTATTCCTTTATTTAAACCTTTTAATTTTCCATAGTAGGTCTTACAAGTCTCTTGTTAATGTTTAATCATTTTGAAGTGCTAAATGATTAACTGTGGGCTGGCATTCTTTGGTATATTTCAAGAGCCTGAAGGAAACCAGCTCTTATATGCTGTCCTCTTCCCAGACTGCAAAGCCTATTCCTCTGAGGACTGTTTGATGTTGGCAGGCAGCCTTCATTATTCTTTTGCCTTAAGAAAATTTGATAGAGGGC